GTGGGTGGGGGGGGGGAGGGGGGACGTTTAACTTACTAAGTGTTCTATTTTTGTAATGAATGAGACTGTTAAAAATGAACTATTGACTGTGATGGGATGTTTTCGGGTGCTCATGCTTCTGGATAGAAAATTCTAATTTGAGACTTTAGTCTTTGCAATTTTACAGATCTTCTTTATGCACCAAGAGCTTGTAACACTCCAAAGAGAAAGGAAAAATTGAAATCGCACCATATGACCCCTTTAAAGCATAGAGATTAATCAAGCAAGTTAACAAATTTGTCTTTGTGGCCAAATGTTGTAATTGCAAGTGTATTTTAAAAAAAAAACTGTTCTCTATTTAATGTTTTTTTTTGTTGTTGTTGAAAATATCAATTCTCTATTGATATACCTAATTGTATTGTGAACTGTTATATGTATGAAAATACGTTTAGAAATATATTCATTTTCTTACCTTAGGAGTGACATTTTTGCAGATAAAAGCACATGAAAGTACAATGACTAAATATACAGCTGAAAGCCTTGGAAAAGAAACTTAAAATCTGGACATTTCTGCTGTTCATTTAGTTGTGCTATTTTCATTAATATGCACACTGTTGTTTATGTGAACTCAATTTCATTGCATTTCTGCCACTGATACTATAAATACTGAACTTTTGTTTTGGTTATAAAACAGTCTAACCTCTGTAAAGGGCCACATGTCTTTAATTTTTTGCATCTCCAGCTGCATTAAAACAAAAAAGAAAATAGGAGAAATGTATCTCCTTGTCACAGTATGCCTGATACAACTGGCATCTATTGCAATTCGAGCTAAAGCAGACATTTTTAAAAGGTTGTAAAACCAGAATGCTATAAAGACAAAGACCAGTGTACAGTATCCGTATACCAACAATAACAAAAATAATGCATTTCAATCAGGCACATTAACATTCAGAGTTCAGTACAAATAAAATGTTTTGCATGAAGAATGGTATTTGCTTTTTTTAAATTATTATTATTTTGCCTTTCTCTGCATCAGTTATTTGCAACTTCTTCCCAAATTCTATCATAGAAGCATCATATAAATAACAAAATAACCAATGTAAATTGCTTGCACTGCGTCACTGAACATACAAGCATTATTAAGAACATAGTGAGATCAACTGCGATTATGTGAGTTGAATGCACAGATCTTTTTATATTCAAAATGAATATGCGATTGGTAATTGACAGTATCATTCAGCAAACCGGTGAATATTCATTACAAGACCAACTGCATTCAGTAGTCGATAAGTTTAGCAGCCCATTCATTCAGCCAGTCTATATCTGCATCTGTATTTGTGGAATATTCAACAATACCCTTGCATTGTAAGTATCCACTATGAAGAAATGTCCATGTGTGCATGTGAGACTCAACCCTCCACAGGACAAAGGCTGAGAGTGTCTCCATTTCTGACCGCTCCATTGGCTCTGTTCCGAGATTTCCCGTAGTTGAAAAGGTTGTCCTGCTCACTGTCCAGCTCTGATTCTGACATCATCAGGCTGGAGTTGTGCTCTGTGCTCCTGTGTTTAATGTCTAAAGATGACAAATGCAGAAAAATGAATACAGTAACTGCAATTACAAACCTAATGGTCTGCCTTTAAGCCACCATGGGCCAAAATACTGTGGCATAAAATAAATCGGGTCTGAAACTTACTGTACTTTGGCTGAAGCTCCATCCTCTCCTGTTCGTCCATATTGTCTAGTATTGTGTACTTGGTTTTCTTCCTCACTTTTGTGCGTCTCCCTCTACAACAGTCCAAAACAAACACATGAGTATAGACACATACCACAGGTACACAAAATCATAGAACCCATAGTACATAGAACAAAATAGAACAAAACATTCTATATGGTAAAAGTGAATGAGAACCGGTAATAATTCAATAATCATAATTTAAAAAGTCTTATTTTGTGTTTGACAGAAGAAGCATACAGATTTGAAACAACATAAGGGTGAGTAAATGATGACAAAATTTACATTTTTGGGTGAACGATCCCTTTAATACTGGACTTGTATTACTGACAGGAAAAAAAGTTTTTCATGCTTACCAAGTCTGCATTTATTTGATTGAAAAATACAGTAAAAACTAATTTGTAATATAGTAATATTTTGAAATAAAATTACAAACTGAAACAACTGTATCTTGTGTGTAACTTTTTTCCTGTGACGGCAAACCTGAATTTTCACTCATTTGTCAGTGTCGCATGATATTTCAGAAATAATTCTAATATGCTGATTGGGAGGTCACAAAATATTTATTATTATCAATGTTAAAAACAGTTGTGTTGCTTAATATTTTTGTGGAAACCATTTTTCAGGATTCTCCGATGAACAGCAAGTTCAAAATAACAGCATTTGATGAATAGAAAGTTCAAAAGAACAGCATAAATGTCTGTCACATTTGATCACTTTAATTTGTCCTAGCTGAATAAAAGTATTAATTTCTTTCAAAAAAAATTTTTTTACTGACCTAAACTTTTGAATGATAGTGTGTATAACATAACTCATGCCACATATTTCAATAGGCAGTTTGTCTACATGCAGTAATGGAGTCTTTATCACCTTTTACAGCAGCAGACGCAAATCCAGCTGATGGACAAGAGGAAAATGATTGTCACGAAACAAGAGATTGTGACATACAACACGCTCCAGTCTGCGAAAGGAGACAGAAGATTAGCCCTCAGGCTTTCCATCACTGTAAAACATTCTAATGTTTCATGACAGAACATTAGAAATATCCTCAGATTATTTAACACAACAGAAAGCATCAATAAAGGTGCGTCAGGTTAGCAAAATTTTGTGGGCAAAAAAAAGGTCCATTGTCAGTAGTATAGCGCTGCATGAAGCATCTCTCATACAGAGGTCACTTTCCAATCAAGCAGCCTTCTGTTGGTCAACGTGGCAAATTTGCCTGACCAACTTGAACCCAATGTGAAATCTATGCCCTCACTCGAAACTCCTGTTCATGTGTATTCCTGCTGAAATAAATGGATTTCTAATGCGACATTTCAACGAGCAAAAGTAAATGTACCACACCTTATGACTGAACCTGCTTCTTAATCTTAATTGAAATTTCTCATTTACATGAGAAACCTTATTGGGATGTCACACTGACCACAATTGCTCTCGCCATCATCAAGGAAGCGGCGAATGGGGTTCTCCATCCAAAGAGGGTCACAGGAACAGCTCCTTGTTATGGGATCACACTGACCACGTCCAGAACACAGCAGCAAACACACTAAAATATTCAGCACAATGGTAAAATCAGAAAGACTATATTATCAGCCTTTTTATTATATCATTTACCGTTCTCAGTTTCTCAATGAAAGTAAATGGAAAAAAGTCACTCACTGACTGTGTCCACTCTTAAGACCTTAAAGAGCAAGAAGTCGGTTTTCTCTCGCAACAGCTGGTTTCTCAGCAGACGAGCGAGCTTAGGCCCTGGAATCGTACCATCAGGACCCTGCACTGAGAACCTAAATACTGTGCTAAACACAACAAACACATGTAGACTTCAACTAATCTAGGCTTAGTCTCTAGTAATTATGATTAGCTTAATTTAAAGGGGTCCTATTATGCTCTTTTACAAAGTCTTGATTTTGTTTTGGGGTGTACTAGAACAGGCTCTCATACTAAGTTGTTCGAAAAACACATTATTTTTCACATATTTTACATTATTACAACACCTCTCTCCCCAGTCTGGCACGAACGGCTCGATTAGTTCCTGTATCAAATGAAGGTCCGCCTTCTGAAATATGAAATGTGCTGTGATTGGTTAGCTGGACCAGTGTGTGCTGTGATTGGCTCCACTCGGCGCCTGATCGGGAAATGTCACGCCCCTTACCATAGCCGCCTGCGAGCTTCAGTGTAAATATTGCGTCAAAATCAAATCAATTTGAGCGCGATTTAAACCCGGATGATTGTAAACACTCTAAGTTTGTCTGCCTTGGGAAAGCTAGCGTGTCTCTGACATAGTGATAACACTCGTTGCCTTCTCTAGTGCAGCTCAACCAGGTCTCATCCCATTCGTCGGTATTTGTGATATGGAAAATATGTGTCCAAACGAGTCGTTCGTTGTAGTTTTTGAAAAGTGATTTCTGTTAAATAAAATATCTCCTTTTGAAGTGGACTTCAAAAAAGCAGATCTTTTTTATGCTCAAACAGCAACATTACAGACTAACTAAAGTTAAAAAAAATTGAAAAAGCATAATAGGACCCCTTTAAAAGCTATAATCAGGTCCCCAGTGCATCTACCAACCAAGGAAACGTGAAAAAGATTAAC